AATTCCCACCAACAGCTCTGGAGCAGAACTGGATGTTCCCGCTGTCCCAGTTCCTCCCCATCCCTGCCAGGAGCCTTCCCAGGCACCAGGAGCATCCCCACGGAGCAGGACGTGTCCCACCTGCAGCCCCTCCTGGACACGGCTCTGGATGGGGCTGTCACCTGCAGGAGAGCCTGGGAGCTCTGCTGGGATGTGAGGCAGGAGCTCCTGCCTGGTGTGTCCACTGGTTTGAGGCCCTGAGGAAGATCCCCTGGTCCCAGACTCTGCATCTCTGGAAGGTGAAACCCATGGGCACTCGAAGCCCTTTGCTCAGTTCTCTGTCTATTCTGAGTCCTAGGATTAAATCACCCATTTTGACTGAACCTCTTGGCTGTTCAATCATTCCCACTTATCCCTGTCATCATTCCAGGGAGGAATCATCACATCCTTCATCTTTATTCACTCCTGTTTAACCCAACTCTGTGCTCCTGGTTTTGCTGCCTTGTCAGCTGGACAAGTGGGTTCTTTTCAACACTTAAAATAATTCTAGCAGTAATAGAACAGGTTGGATTAAAAAAGAAAGGGAGGGAATTGGAACTGGGGAGCAGAGCCAGAGGCTGGAATCTTCTGGGGTGTGGAAGGTGGACCAGGAGGTGCTCCCTGTGACTTTGGAGACAAGGAGGGTGGAGCTGTAACCCCAGCTCCTGCCTCCTGTGAGGACACCCCACTGTCCATGGGCATCAGGAGGGAAACCTGGGCTTCCTGCACCTTCCAGAGGGATTTTGTTCCCCAGTTTCCTTTTATTTTAGGCACAGGAACTGTGAGAAGCAGCACAGGTGGGGTCAGAGCAGCCACCAGCAGGCTGGGAGGTTGGTGTCTGGGAAGGTTTGTCACCACTGAGCAAGCCTTGCCCTTCTCTCACAATTAAATCAACTCAACCTCCTGCTTCCTGAGAGCTCCGGGTGGAAAGGACTGGAATTCATGCTCCTCTGGCTTCATTCCCTGGAGCAAGGTGACTCCTGCCCATCCCCAACCTCCCTGCAGAGCTGCAGGATGGATGGTCCATGAGCTGTGGAGCTGCTCCAGGGTCAGGCTGGGGGGCAGAATTCCCACCCCACATCCCTAGGGAGCGTTTGTCGGGCAGTGCTCTGGGCACGGGAGATGTTCCCAGCCCCTCCTTCATCCTCCCAGGAAGCTGACACGTGTTGCTCCTCTCCTCTCTGGAGGATTCCCAGAGTCCTCAGCCCATGGAGCTCCACGGTGGGATGGAGCCTCTTCCTGGAGGCTTTTCCTGGAGGCACCTCAGGAAAGGAGGGTTTGGTTTATCCAGCCAAGGCTCCAACCTTTCCAGGCAGCTCCATCTCCCACAGTTCTGCTCCTGGGCCTGGATGAGGTGTTGGATTAAGAGACTCCAACAACCTGATGCTCCCTCACTTTCCAGGATAAAACTCTTCCCATTTCACAGTCTCCTTGATCCATGGTTTTGCTCCTTGGCCCTGGAGGATTGAACCAAAGCCCTGGGGACCCATCCCTGCCCTGACTGTTCCCCCTGTTCCCTGACCCAGGGCACAGCAGCCCCTGGAGGGGAACTGGGGCTCTTGCCTCATGTGAAGCCCTAAAACCACCCTGGGCCAACCCAGAGAACAACTCAGCAGTTTCTACATCTCCTTTATAACTCAAATGGACCTTCCAAGGGCCTCCCTGTACAAACCCAGGGCCCAGACTCCTCATCCTCCCTGGGTTTCTTTTTCTTCCCCCTTGCCCAGCACCCCCTGGAGCTCCAGTTTGGGCTGCCAGCCATTCCCAGCCCCTGGATTTTGTTCAGTCTTCTCTTCCAGAGCTCCCTGCCCTTCCAGGGGACACGTGGGTCACATTCCAGGTAATTTTAGCCCCTCGTGGATGTGGGGGGAGGGGATGGATCTGCCTCCTGGGGGCTGAGGGAGCTGCTGGGGGGGCAGGGGGGATGCCAAGCAGCTCCCAGGGACCTTCCTCTGACATCCTGGGATGACTCTGTTTTCCTGCCTGGAAGGAAAAGCTCCTGATGACTCTGGTTTAGGGCTTGATGAACCAAAGTGTCGTCCCCCCCCCCCACTGAAGAAGCCATTTCCAAGGTTTTCCATTTTCTCATGGAAAAGTGAATGAGCTGATAAGGAAAGAGCAGAGGCCTTGGCAGGAGGTGGGAAGAGGCTCTTGTGAAAAGTCCTGCAGAGCAGCAAGAGGAGCTGGGTCGTGGTCCTGCAGGGAGACCCAGGCAGTCCCTGCCCTGCTCCTTTCCAGGAGGGGGAAATTGTCCCATCAAGCAGACCCCCTTCCCAGACATCAGTGCTGGAATTCTCTTCAGAGACAAGGAAACCCACACATTCCTAATCAAAGTCAAGTCATCTCCTCAGCTTCACACTTGATATCCAGAGGCAAAACTCTGTGTGTGGGGGGGTGTTAAAGACAGAAAGGGAGGGTGTTTGTTGTTCTGCTTTTGCAGCAAGAAGATATTTTGGAAACTTAATTAGGAATCAACACGTCATTGGGGAGCAAAACCAACATCAGGGCTGAGGGGAGAGCTGGGGGGGCTGAGGGCAGCAAGAGGAGAACACAACCAGGACTTCAGAGTGAGCTTCTCTTGCCCTTTTGATCACATCTTCAAGGTCCTTTTGCCTCCCTCTCAAGCCTCTCCTTGAAAAATTTTGGTGCTGCATGGAACAAACTTCAGTGCCCTGATAGGAGCAGTTCTGTGAGTCTCCCTCAGAGAGAAGATCATGGAATCATGGGATGGGTTGGGTTGGAGGGACCTTCAAGATCACCTAGATCCACCCCCTGCATGGGCAGGGACACCTCCCACCAGCCCAGGCTGCTCCAAGCCCCATCCAACCTGCCCTTCAACACCCCCAGGGATGGGGCAGCCACCTTGAAGATCATCTAGGGGATCATCCAGGTGGTCTTTAAGAGTGTGAATCCCAAGACACCAGGGCTGGGACAGGGATGAGGAGAGGGATGGGGACAGGGAGGAGGACTTCACCTGCCAAACCAATGCAAATATCCCCCCCAGCCCTTTCCACAGCCCAGTAAACCCAGTGTAAGCAATGTCTGGGGTGGGTTCCCTGCTGGGAGTGTGGCTCCCTGTTCCAGCACAGAACTGGGAAGCAGGAGCTGGGAAGCAGGAGCTGGGCTCCCTCCTGTCTCCCTTCCTTCCCTCCCAACTGTTGATGTTTCCAGCTCTGAATCACTAGTCACATCCTCTACAAACTGAGTCACTGTCATCCTACTGCAGGCTTGTCCAACCCCTTGTGTTCTCCAGAAAAACCTGAGGATTCTAAGTGGACCAAAATCCCTCCTCCCTGGGAGGTGTCTGCAGGTTCTTGCTGGGGGGTGGATGCAAAGTGACCTCCCTGGCACCAGGGACAATGGCCAGGGCTGGACACTGGCACATCCAGAGCACCCAGCTCTGCTGGGGGAGCTGTGCAAGGGGCTGGCAGAGCCCATGGGAATCCAGACCCTCTCCTGGAGGGCTCCCAAGTGGCTGAAGACCCACCCGGGCCACCCCCAGGGCTGCATGGCTGCTGTATTTCCTCATCTGGGACGTCCCTTCCAGCCCAGGCCCTGCACACACCCCCCAGGAGGAAAAGAGGCTGCCAAGTGCCACAGAGATGGGGGATTGTTTTTTCCCAAAGCCCCTATTACACCCAAAGAAACTGGTTACCTGCTGCTGGGGGTGGGAAGGGCTGTTCAGCCTCCTCTGTGGCCACACCATGATCTGTCACCCGGCACCTGCACCTGGATGGAACAAGTTTTGGATCCTCAGAGCAGGTCCTCAGATCCTCAGAGCCCCTGTGTCACCAGGCTGGAGCAAAGACAACTCAGGTGAGAGCAGAAATCCTGCCCGTGCCCAATCTCCAGGAGTTTTGCCTTGGCTTCCAATGTCCTTGACAAAATCCAGACACAATCCTGAGACAAACTGTGCTTGGAGCACCAGAGAACTGAGTTCAAACTGGTGAGAACAGGACATCACTGTGGGCTGTCCTGACAGTCCTGCAAGGAGCCTTTTGGGAAGAGAGGATCCAAAGGGCAGGACCAAGCTCTCCCACTGCTCCCAGCATCAGACCATCTGGCCTTGGCCTGGGGCCACCTCTGGGGTGCTCCCTAGGACCTGACAACAGGATGTGGAGAGGAACAGTTCCAGCTGGGAGGCAAAATGTTCTTAAATAAACTGGCATTGAGAGACCCTGAAATGGACACTCATGGAATCATGGGATGGCTTGGGTGGGAAGGGACCTGAAAGAGCATCTAGATCCAACCCCCCCATGGGCAGGGACACCTCCCAGCAGCCCAGGCTGCTCCAAGCCCCATCCAACCTGCCCTTCAACACCCCCAGGGATGGGGCAGCCACAGCTTCCCTGGCCAACCTGGCCCAGGCTCTCCCCACCCTCACACTCCACAATTCCCTCCTCAGCTCCAACCTCCAGCTCCCTCTCCCACTTTTCATCCCTCCCCCTCATCCCATCCCTCCCTGCCCTTGGCCCAAGTCCCTCCCCAGCTTTCCTGGAGCCCCTTCAGGCCCTGGAAGCTGCTCTAAGGTCTCCCTGGAGCCTTCTCCTCTCCAGGCTCAACACCCCCCGACCATGCCCTGTCTTCCCCCGTCCGGGACACCTCCCAGCAGCCCAGGCTGCTCCAAGCCCCATCCAACCTGCCCTTCAACACCCCCAGGGATGGGGCAGCCACCTTGATCATCTAGGGGATCTTTGAAGGTCCCTTCCAACCTAAACCATTCCATGAACTAAAGATCATCCAGATCCAACCCCCTGCATGGGCAGGGACACCTCCCACCAGCCCAGGCTGCTCCAAGCCCCACCCAACCTGCCCTTCAACACCCCCAGGGATG